GTAATCTTGAAAGTGTCAGTAACTGTAAATATCAATTTCTAAATTATGATTTCAAATATGTACGTAGTATCTCAACAAGGGCGCATTAAGCCCCCCCCCCCTTTTTTTGGAGCTACATATATGGTTAATGCATAAGAACTTTTACATGTTCTACTCATAACGTTGCCTAGTTTGCCCCTCCTTTTTCAAAATCCAGGATCTGCATCTGAATTGGTGTTATTTTAGTGGACAAGCTTAAGGGCTTAACGGTGTATTTTGAAAGACACCAATTGATATCTATCTGTGACATACCATAATGGCTTGACTGATTATTCTAAATGACACCAGTTGATATTAATTGAGTGACACGATCCTATTTACAGTGTTTTCTGAATGACACCAGTCGAAACAACTAAAGGGATTTACAGTGGGTTTTTTTTTTAATAATCCAGTCGATATACAGTGATTCACTGGGTATTCTGAATGACACAAGTGAACTTTTATCTTTTTGTTATAACGGAGAATAAAGATTGCACGCATTACCATTACATTTACGCGCAAAAATCATTGCATTTGCGCGCATTCTTTTACAGGAAACTCGGGTAAATACAGGCAGATTATACTTATTTATGTATTTCATTATTATTTTCGAGCAGGATATGTCCGTTTTATTATACACCAGCACTTAGTCCTGGAAATACATTCAGATAAAAAATGTAAAAACATAGGTAATCTAAACATATGGCTTAAAAGTACTGATTATAAATGTCGTAACGTGCTGAATCTTTGAAGCTCACTGCTTTAAGAAAACACAAAACGCAAAAATACATGGATCCGTGTGCTGAATAAAATTGCTCATTGTAGTGGGCATGGAATCATTCTGGGCCGTTTTTAGTACGCCTGGATTCAGCTGACGGTAGTAATGCCCAAAGACTTGGAGGAAATAAGGAATCTGGCGAAATACCATTGCAATTATGTACGGTGCATCGACATAAAATATCCCCTGACAAGTGTTCTGTCGATACGGAAAGTAAATCCATCGTAAACTAATGAGTTTTCCTCCGACTTGTTTCTGACAAATGAAACTTCATGTGTGTGCCTTGGTGCAATTTTACAAACTGACTTAAATAATTTACTAAAGCGATCACCATTGGTAAAATAAGGAAACAGAATAGTATTTACTTTGAAATATTCTCAATTATGTTACATATGTACATGTGTGTCTAAAGTTATTACAGGATTTTTCATGATCAGTTTATCTTTTATTTTTAAAACTCAATATGAAAAATATTTAATTTAGATTTACAAATATGTTCAAAAATCATAATAACTATAGTCTTTTTACCTGTTTTAACTGTATAATGAATGCGCGCAATTATAATCAAAAGCTGCGAGCAAACGTAAAAATAAAATCCCTAAATGCGCGTAAATGTAATGCGCCCAATGTAGTGACCTCCTCGTACCATTTCCCAGACATGATACAGTCAGTTTTTTTCATCTTTACCATTATATGATAGATTCTTCAGAATTTTTTTCCGAGTTTTTACAGTTAATGCAATTTCTAATTTCGTTATATTCAGTTTATTGTTAAAGAGGAATTCACACTTGTGAGGTTATGTATGGAGATCTGTTGGTCTTGTACAGATAAAGAGTTGTGGTTTTAAAAGTCACTGTGACGCGGAGATGTAATTTAAAAGTCTAGCATTGGAGATTAACGTCAATTGCTGGAGATCTACAGCACTAGACTTTACATCTACAGCGCTTAACTTTAAAAACCACAACTCTTTATCTGTTTGAGACCAACAGGGCTCCGTAGCTATGCCTGTGTGTGCTTATCTAACCAGAAAAAATATGAGATTGACCAGACATTTTCTTTATTTTAAAAGCATTTAACAGTACCAATTAATAAATATCAAATATTCGGTGTGTTATTTTTATATTTTATTAAAGCTAAAAATTGAAACAACATTGTGCATTATGTAATTTCTTGTCTGTTTATTATGTTCAACGTGCAATTTGAATCATTCTATATGATCTTGAAACAATCAAATTCACACATAAAGTGCAATTTATATAACATAAACCCGTCAATGCAACCTCCCATCGCGGGTTTATGACATGAACTAAGAGCTTCCTTAGCAAGGGAAGAATATAAATCTATCTAAAATCGATGCTAGCCAAGAAAACTATTACTTCATCATAATAATTACGCCGTTAAAACTTAAGTTTGTGCTTGGGTGGTTGTCTACGTTCCATTAGGTACAAACGTCTTCTATCATGATTAACATCACAAAATGAATTTCTTGTAGGAATATATACACATTTTGTAAAATAAGAAGATGTGGTATGACTGTCAATGAGACAACCAAAAACCAAAAGAAAAGGATATAATCAACAACTGGCACGTCATCCTACGGCTTTCAGTCAACAATGAACAAAACCTTTACCGATTAGTAAGCTATGAAAGGCTCTGAGATATAGATTGGCCATTAATCGTTATGACTATCATACAGACCTTCCATGAAAAATGTCCAATATAAAGAAAACAAAAGAAATCACGGTAGCAATTAAAAATCAATTAAATGACAATTATTAATATCATTTCACAGTTAAAAACATTAGTGTTGAAAAAAGGTATCATGGTAAAACACAAAATGACAAAAACGATTCCCACAAAGTACACAGACAACAGAAGATTGAGCAACACGAACCCCGCCAAAACCACTGGCGAACTAGAAAAGAAGTTCCTGCACCCCCATGTGACTTCATGACATGTAAAAATGCGGTGATAGGTCGTATCTGGTGATGTCATCAACGCAGAAACAATGCTGGAATTGTGACTACGAGAAATGAAAAATATTTGATGTCCTTCGTGACCATACATTCTACAGAACGGTAAACCAAATGATGATGACTCTGTTAAACTTTCGTTAACGACACCTTTAACATTAAGTGCATTTGGTTAAATAACTTCCATTTAAGCAATTATCCTATATCAAGGAAATGGTTTTCAAATATTTTGCATCAGTTTTTATTGTAAAACAGGATTTATTAACTAATACTCATTTTCTTGATATTGCTATGTATGTGCTTCTCTTAACTTACTTGAAAAGGAGAGGGGAAAAAACAAGCACAACCCTTCGTCGGGAAAGATAATTGGTTCGTTTCGATTAATGTTATTGTTGAACAATTGAATTTTATAATTGACGTCAACTTTTTTTTCAAATCTTCATTATTCAAAGTTATATGTGTGTTTGTGGTTCAGGGGGAAAATTGCCTTAGGGAATAAACTAGTTTCAAAATGTGGTTGTTTCTAGTAAGCTGACTATTGTAATCATTATTATGGGTTCAAATGGCTGGACGTGTACTCGTATATCAATATTTAAGTTGTATTGTTCAGCATTTTTGTCACCTTGCGACCAACACCGTTCATTACTGCATTTTCAGTTACAGGTGGTTGCAAACACATTTTTTATGAATAACTGCAATGCAGTACAAAGTATCAAAATGAAATTTGGCATTTAATCCTTACATTGTCAGAAACTTACATTTACCATGACGAGTAATTTACCGCTGTGAAGTAGAAGTCAATTGTATTATACGGAAGATCAATTAAGAGGCTTGTTTAGACTAAACATGCTGTTGTTAAGTGTTAGAGTGTTTAAGCTCATATCGTACTTAAACTGGCCTCTATCCAGATGTATCAGTCATTCAAATATATACATCCTGTAGACTTACACAATAATATTGACAGATATATCCTCATTCAAGTAACCAAATAAGAGTAGTGAATGAAAGGGATATTTTCCAAGTTAAAAGATAATAAAATATTTCCTTATGCTTTAAGTTTTCTATAAAGAGTTAGTGTTCAGTTCAAATTATTCTTTGATTGATACTGTATAATTTGTTTATCAAGCTATGAATGATATTTAACTGCAATGCAGTACAAAGTATCAAGCAACTACGCTAACAGAGTAGTAGTACAAAGTATCAAGCAACTACGCTAACACAGTAGCAGTACAAAGTATCAAGCAACTACGCTAACAGAGTAGCAGTACAAAGTATCAAGCAACTAAGCTAACAGAGTAGTAGTACAAAGTATCAAGCAATTAAGCTATCAGAGTAGCAGTACAATGTATCAAGAAATTAAGCTAAAAGAGTAGCAGTACAAAGTATCAAGCAATTAAGCTAACAGAGTAGCAGTACAAAGTATCAAGCAATTAAGCTATCAGAGTAGCAGTACAAAGTATCAAGCATTTAAGCTAACAGAGTAGCAGTACAAAGTATCAAGCAATTAAGCTAACAGAGTAGCAGTACAAAGTATCAAGCAATTAAGCCATCAGAGTAGCAGTACAAAGTATCAAGCAATTAAGCTAACAGAGTAGCAGTACAAAGTATCAAGCAATTAAGCTAACAGAGTAGCAGTATAAAGTATCAAGAAATTAAGCAATCAGAGTAGCAGTATAAAGTATCAAGAAATTAAGCAATCAGAGTAGCAGTACAAAGTATCAAGCAATTAAGCTAACAGAGTAGCAGTACAAAGTATCAAGCAATTAAGCGAACAGAGTAGCAGTACAAAGTATCAAGCAATTAAGCTAACAGAGTAGCAGTACAAAGTATCAAGCAATTAAGCTATCAGAGTAGCAGTACAAAGTATCAAGCATTAAGCGAACAGAGTAAGTAGGTGACAAGCATTATTTCCTCTAGTTGGAAGGGTAGTATTTATGTATTAGGAAAATCTGCAATTTTACATACTGGTGAATTTCTTTTTTTTATTTAAGATTTTTTGGAAAAGTTTGTATTCTATGCATATAAAATGCCGCAAAGCACCGGTAGCATTAGGTTGATTAAGTTAACAGAGTAAGACGGTAGTCATGATACAGATTCACATACTTCCTAACACCACAATGCAAATACTTCAGTAAACCTTGGGTCATGATTAGAAACTGGTGAAAATGCTAACAAGTGTACAATTACCCATATGGCTCAGAAATTTCTACCATACCACCTTATATACTTACCGGGCAATGAATACAATGTAATGGTCGCCCTGCATAGGCCACTTCCGCTCCTGTAACTTCCAGCTACGACACGATTTAAGCCAACATAAACACTATAATCCTTTAATCCATATTCCGTATCTTGTCCTTTTAGTGTATATAAAAATCTTGATTCTATATAATCTTTCGTTTTTCCTGATTTATATTCGATTCTTTCATCACTAATATCCATTTTTACACGTGACCCTTTTCTAATAAAGTCATCGATAGTTCGAATCAAGAGCCCACCATCTGACGAAGCATCCATATGACCTTTCAAATTGTTTCCATATATACGCAGTTGCTTATTATGCAATTGTATTTCTGCCATATTACTCGTGGTACCATTATCTCCCCCGTATCCGTCTCCTGTTGGAGAATCTGAAATATCTATGGTCCACATTCTTGGAGGTTCGCCATAATTAAACATAAATCTGGCTCCATCGTACTTTCCAGAGAAATCAATTTTAAGAACTACCTGTTTATCACACGAAAAGCTACCACTCTTTGTTGGTTGTTGAACGAAAGATATATAAGGACTATATCCTTTAACGACGCCATTACGTAAATCTAAATCTACAACATTGTCTTGTAGAGCTGCAGTTTTAAGACATAAACACAAAACTGAAACACAAGAAACTATTGTTAATCTCAACTTATATGAATTGTTATGTTTGCTTAATTATAAATAAATGTCGAATACACACAAAGAAAAGGGATTACGCTAAAAAAAAAACATCAGTTTTGTCACAATTGAATGGAGCCGCGAAGTTTCAGTCAAAATTACAAATTCTTTCATTACTACTTCTGTGAGATAGAAATAACTAGTTTCAAAATATAATGCAAAGGACAGATCTAGGCTTCTCGGAATGATTTTTTTTTCTTAATCCTTATATACTGAAAGGTCACACGTTCATTAACTTCACGAACTTCCAGAACACATGAGTTGAACCCCATTTTTTGGTGGGGTGCATGTTATTTTAGTTACATAGTACGCAGTGTTTTGTAAACTGTTCATATTTCTTTTTGATAGCCTGTTTTTTTCTTCGACTTGTGGATTTTGATAGCTTCCTTGGTTGTCTTCTCCTCTTTTTGACAAGAGCAGATATGAATAAGAATATTTACTAGAATTGAATGGCGAGACCTGTAAAAAAAACTAAATCTAGAACGTCAAACGAAATGTCTTTGATTTTTTTCCAATTTGAATACAGTATTGTACCTTAAACACATGCGTATTGTATAAACTGACACTTTATTGACAGTGCGATTACTGTTACAGAAAGTACTTAATGCATTAATTATTGATATCTCGCTGCAGAATGATTTGTGTATCACTCATTTTTCTATTTATCCAAGGGTATGTCATTACTTAGAGGATCAAAACCTCTGTCTTCACATTTCAGTATGGAATTCGACTCACAGTTAAATGGATTTAAATAAGGATAGTACATAATGTATCGTATGAGTAAAGTTGTATGTATATCGATGTTATGAGACACAGAAATGCTTTTCAATACAGTCGGATGGGGCGGGGGGTCATTGATAAAAAAATTATTTCAACTGTTAATGTTTTATAAATTTTTCTTTGGTTACCTAACACGGGGCGATACCTGTGCATTGTCATCATTTACCAGGTCGGCAGTAGTTTGTCATCATTTACCAGGTCGGCAGTTGTTTGTCATCATTTACCAAGTCGGCAGTAGTTTGTCATCATTTACCAGGTCGGCAGTAGTTTGTCATCATTTACCAGGTCGGCAGTAGTTTGTCATCATTTACCAGGTCGGCAGTAGTTTGTCAATGAACTTCATAAATCGAAAAAAGGAGAGACAACATTACAGCAAAATACACAACAGATGGAGAAAAAACAGAGACCATAATGAAACGTGAAGTTTAAGTATAAAGAGGTGTTCGTTTCGTTGTTCTTGACAAGTACCTGTATGACGTCTGTGTCAAACACGTCTCATTCCGGACAAGCTAAAATGATTTCCGACCATTTGTTTTTGAAAAAACACGTCGTAGGGACTGGTCATTTTCTTTCATTTGGAGGGGGTGTGGGTGTGTGGGGGGGGGGGGGGGGGGGGGGGTTGAGGAGGTAACAGTGGAATTTCTCTGATTTTTTTCATGTCCCTACCTTGAGGAAGGTAGATAAATCCAAGACCCCCTTCCAAAGACGTTAACATTTCAACCCCACCCACTTAAAAAAACATTTCTCGGATTTTTTTATTCTTTATAACAAAGATACATGCATACAATTTCTATTTATATTATTATCGTTCAAAGAATTATTGCATCAGTAGTGGATCTAGAGCTTAAAGTGAGAGAAGTTGTTTATGACTTCAGGGAACTTTATTTGGATATAACTGCGAATGAGACAGCTATCCAACAGAGTTAAAACGAAGTGGTAGTAAGCAATTATAGGCCACCGTACGGCCTTCAACAGAGTTCAAATGAAGTGGAAGTAAGCAATTATGTCCACCGTACGACCTTCGACAATGAGAAAAACTCGTACTGTATAGTCGGCTATAAAAAGGCCGACATGAAAAATGTTAAACAATTCAAACAAGAAAACTAACGGCCTTATTTATAACAAAACAATTTACGGAAACCAATACATGTATGACATACCTGAACCAATGACAACCACTGTACTACAGGCTCCTGACTTGGGACAGGCACATACAAAATTTGGTAGTGTTAAACAAGTTTGTGAGCTCTCAACCATCTCTTAACCTTGGACAACGGTGTTACAGAACACCATAAGAACAAACCGTAAAAATCAGTTACAATTTGCAACTCAAAAGATCGGTAATAGGCACTAAAACAGAAGACACAAAGCACCGAAAAAAGAGTACTCGTAGTTACTGAAAGCCAGTTCAATGCCAATTACAACTAATAAATAAATCATGTTTGCCCTGACTAAAGTATCAAGAAGTACACATCCAACGGTCTTAGTCAAAGACAGTCTGAGAAACGCATGACCTTGTGCAATGCCAAAATTTAAGTAAACAGCTCTCTACATGATGTAGAATCATAAGTTATCATAACTGTATGTATATCAACATATAGTCAGTTATGTTTTAATTTTTCAAAAACAAAACAAAAACAATGTTAGAAGTCCTATATAGTAATATTTAAAGATTTCACTACTGTGTTAAATTGATAACCTGGCTTTAAGAATAAGTTTATTCAAAGGATCAATTAGTTTACATTGAATGTGTCTAAATTTACGGGCTTTATAAACAACATCACCGTAAAACTTGGATGGGATATCCCGTTTGTAATAAGAATTTTACAGGTGCAGCCAAACTTTCTAACCAAATCTGTATACATATGAATGAATTTGGTAAAGGTTTTAATTAATTTGTGGTAACGAAATCCCTGCCTTTTGGATTTACCAGTTATACATAAATTACAGACACGGACATAGCGAGCAAGTTGTGAAATATATTATCACACCGTCAGAAGGGGCTAACGGAATATGCCTGTTATGGTCTCATTGACATTTACCACACCTTCATTAAATTTCAGCATATTGTATATATATTCTTTATTAAAGAAGTTTGTAAACTAACATTAGATTAGAATACATGCTTGGAAGAAGATGTTGAAACTTAGGAATTGAAAATTGAATCTTAACAATTGAACCGAGCAGAGCGAGGCGAAAAAAAAGATTTTTGTGCCAAAAAAAATATATTTTTCAGTTATGTGGAAGAGGTGGGTGTGGGTCACAAAATTTGTTCGATGCCCCCCTATCTGAAGTATAGAAAAATTGGACACCCCCTTTGCAGGTTACAAATGACCAGTCCCTAATACAAAACAATAAATATGGTGGGAAGAAGATTTACGACAAAATCAACGATAGCTTTGATTCATTTAAACAATAATACGCTGTTGATTGATAAAATTGTAGGAAGTATGTGATGCATTTTTGTCAGTTCCTTAATGAAAGCATTGCGTTAGTGTTATGTTTCTTAATATCTTTACGTAAAGTGTTTAGTAAACTTTATTCATTAATAATATTGACCTACACAAATGGTATTGTCAACAGTCAGACAGAGATTTGTTTAAAAAGTTGTTAAGATGTGTTTAAAACATGTGCGAATTTCACAGATTTAATTCAACATTATTAGTAGACAATTTATCTTTTATCAATACATTTTACAGTTCAGATGGTTCATATTAATAAAACTAGCTATTTTACAGTGATTCCAATTGAACTAAATGCATTATAGCCAAACGATTAACGTATAACGCCAACTGAACTTATTTACATAATATAAAATTATTATGTCAATCAAATTTACTAAAAAAAATATTAATTAGTATCCTATTTCAGTCTGTCAATCGTGTATCTGAACATTCTTAGTAATCATATATAATTTCTGTTAAGATTTCTTTTCAGAAAATGAGTATTGTATTGTAAACATGTGTAGATAAGATTGCTATTAAGAGTTTTGCCTTGATTTTATCTTTTAATTTCCAATTAACTTGTCAACATATTAATAATCGTATAGGTAGACAAAGAAAACGGGTTTTAACAAGCTTTTTAAACATGAACGATTCGGAAGAAAATGGAGCTAAGGGAGGTTACTCGAGTGCAAAAGTTAAATGAATTATGATTAATATTGCAATACTAGTTCAAGTACAGATGATTTAAGTGCAAATGCTTAACAGATTGGGATGTTTAAATAAAGATCATATAAAAAAGTCAGACGATACCAAATGTGCAATTAAAAAACCACAAGTCGAAGACAGAAGGATTACACCATGACGAGAAGAAAAAACGAAAAGACATTTTATAAATCAACAGCGTATTCATGTTAAAAAAAATGTAGCACTACATTACTGTTCAAATTAAGTTATTGAATTTTCCTTTTTAGTTATTAGACATGTTTGTTTAAATAACTGTTAAAAGGTTGCTGTTAAACAAGTGGTGCTGCAGAGAAAGCTCGAGATCACAAAATGATAGCCCCGTTCCCCACATAACGCAAAGGCAAAGTCTATGATTTGCTAAAACGAAAAAGGAAGTGCATCACAAAGACATTATATAGTGTATATTCTGAGAAATTTAAATTAAATTCTGATTAGGGTTTAGAATCTCAAATAATCTGCACATATCGGAAGTGCAAAATGTCCAAATCTCGAACAATAACCTTTAGAATGATTAAAGACTACAATCTTACTTTTAAAATCAGATTCGTCTACTCAGTACTGTAATGAGGACTGAAAAAGTTGACCATGGAACGAATGTCATTTTTATTGCTTTGTTGCACATTATTCTGTTTTGAATCTGATATTGAAATTTGCGGGAAATGTTATGCTGGTTTACGAGTTTTTCAAACTGTTAAGTGGTAATCGGGCATATGAGGAAGTACTGACGGGAAATTTTTTTTTTAAGTTTTGGATTCAGAAGTATTGGCCTCTTAATATTGATTTTTTTACTGATATTCCAAATTAGTAAATATATGTCATTTAAGGTTAAAAAAAAAAACGTCTCGGGTATTACGCATTGCTTATCATTTTGATGTTTATAGTTTCTGTCTGTCTGTTATAGTTTTCCGTTTTCAAGATGAAAGATAAAACACCAACATAGAAAATCGTCATTTTAGGGCAATAACTCCTAC